TTTAAACCTGCATAACTACAGATCTTTTTCATCTCTTGCATTGAACTGCCTTTATACACTTTATTTTTCAATGGTTGAGTTATAAATGATGAAGAAAGTGTTTATATTGTCACAAAATATTTGGGCAGACAACACTTGATTAATGTTTATGGTATAGTGCCAAACCAAAAGAGTCTAAACTCATAATTATAGTTGAAATCAGAAAATTTATAAATATTGATTTCATGATTTAGCATTTCCCCCAAGGAATACTGAGAAAGTATATTCAGAAATCCACTTTGGCCAAATTCAAGCAAAACACTGACCTCCCATGTGGAGTGATACTAATGTAATAAAGAATTTTGGCTTCTGAGAATGTAAATAAAGACTCTTGAAGATCTTATCTGCTATTTATGAACAGAAGTTGGTTCTTTTGAAAAAATAAAACAAGATCGATAGACCCCTGGCCAAACCTGACTAAAATGAGGAGAGAAAAAAAACCCAAATTAGTTTAGAATCAGGAATGCAAAAGGGGAGATAACAAACAAAACACCATGGAAATCATCAGAGGACTACTTTGAGAAACCTATATTCAAATAAATTTGAAATCTAAAAGAAATGGACAGATTTCTAGAGTACATATGATCATCCAAAACTGAACAAGAGGAAATTAATCAAACCTGAATAGACCTATAACACAAATGAGAATTGAAGCAGCAATCACGATCTCCCCAAAAAAGAAAAGTCCAGGACCTGATGGATTCTCTGCTGATTCTATCAGACCTTTAAAGAAGAACTGATACCAACCCTCCTTAAACTGTTCCATGAAATTAGAAAGGGAAGGAAAACTGCCAAACACCATCTTTATTGAAAGCCAGTATTACCACTTATCCCAAAAGCCAGGCAAAGACACCTCCAAAAAAGGAGAACTATAGGCAATTTTCCTTAACTGAACATTGATGCAAAAATCCGTCACAATAATGGCAAACCGGAATCAGCAAACACATCAAAAAAGATTTTTCACCCACGACCAGGAGGCTTCATCCAGGATGCAGGGTGGTTCAACATACGAAAATCAATAAACGTAATAAACCACCATTAACAGAAGCAAAGACAAAAACCACTTGATCATCTCATAGAGCAGAAAAAAGCTTTGATAAGATCCACATCATTTCATGATAAAAGCTCTAAGAAAAACTAGGAATAGAGGAAAGTTCCTCAACATTATAAAAGCTATATATGACAAACCTACAGCCAGCATTATACTTAACGGAGAAAAATTTAAAACCATTCCCTCTAAAATCAGGAACCAGACAGGATGCCCACTATCTCCACTCCTATTCAACATAGTAACTGGAATTCCTAGCCAGAGCAATTAGGCAAGAAGAAGGAATAAAAGGAATACAAATAGGTAAAGAAACTGTCAAAATATCCCTATTTGCAGATGACATGATCCTATACCTTAAAGACCCAAAAAACTCTACTCAGAAGCTTCTAGACATCATCAATAGCTATAGCAAGGTAGCAGGAATATAAAATCAACATAGAAAAATCATTAGCATTTCTATACACTAACAATGCAAACGGAAAAAGAATGTATGAAAACAATTCCATTTACAATAGCCTCAAAAAAAATCAAATCCTAGGTGTAAACCTAACAAAAGATGTGAAAGACCTCTACAAGGAAAACTATAACACTTCTGAAGAAAGAGATTGAGGAAGACTATAGAAAGTGGAGAGATCTCCCATGCTCATGGATTGGTAGAATCAACATAGTAAAAATGTCGATACTCCCCAAGTAATCTACATGTTTAATGCAATTCCCATCAAAATTCCAATGACATTCATTAAAGAGATTCAAAATCTACTGTGAAATTTATATGGAAACACAAGAGGCCACGAATAGCCAAGGCAATACTCAGTCAAAAGAAAATGCAGGAGGTATCACAATACCTGACTTCAAACTATATTACAAAGCAATAACAATAAAAACAGCATGGTACTGGCACAAAAACAGACATGAAGACCAGTGGAACAGAATAGAGGACCCAATATGAAGCCACACAACTATGAGCAACTTATCTTTGACAAAGGAGCTAAAAATATACGATGGAGAAATAGCAGCCTCTTCAACAAAACTGCTGGGAAAACTGGTTAGCAGTCTGCAAAAAACTGAAACTAGATCCATGTATATCACCCTATACCAAGATTAACTCAAAATGGATCAAGGATCTTAATATCAGACCCCAAACTCTTAAGTTGATACAAGAAAGAGTAGGAAATACTCTGGAGTTAGTAGGTATAGGTAAGAACTTTCTCAATGAAACCCCAGCAGCACAGCAACTAAGAGATAGCATAGATAAATGGGACCTCATAAAACTAAAAAGCTTCTGTTCATCAAAAGAAATGGTCTCTAAACTGAAGAGAACACCCACAGAGTGGGAGAAAAATTTGCCAATACATCAGACAAAGGACTGATAACCAGAATATACAGGAACTTAAAAAACTAAATTCTCCCAAAACTAATGAACCAATAAAGAAATGGGCAGTGAACTAAACAGAACTTTCTCAAAAGAAGAAATTCAAATGGCCAGAAAAACACATGAAAAATGCTCACCATCTCTAGCAATAAAGGAAATGCAAATTAAAACCACGCTAAGATTCCACCTCACCCCTGTTAGAATAGCCATCATCAGCAACACCACCAACAACAGGTGTTGGCGAGGATGCGGGGAAAAAGGAACCCTCTTACACTGTTGGTGGGAATGTAGACTAGTACAACCACTCTGGAAAAAAATTTGGAGGCTACTTAAAAGCTACATCGATCTACCATTTGATCCAGCAATACCACTCTTGGGGATATACCCAAAAGACTGTTACTCCAGAGGCACCTGCACATCCCATGTTTATTGCGGCACTATTCACAATAGCCAAGTTATGGAAACAGCCAAGATGCCCCAGCACTGACGAATGGATTAAGAAAATGTGGTATCTATACACAATGGAATTTTATGCAGCCATGAAGAAGAACGAAATGTTATCATTCGCTGGTAAATGGATGGAATTGGAGAACATCATTCTGAGTGAGGTTAGCCTGGCCCAAAAGACCAAAAATCGTATGTTCTCCCTCATATGTGGACATTAGATCAAGGGCAAACACAACAAGGGGATTGGACTATGAGCACATGATAAAAGCGAGAGCACACAAGGGAGGGGTGAGGATAGGTAAGACACCTAAAAAACTAGCTAGCATTTGTTGCCCTTAACGCAGAGAAACTAAAGCAGATACCTTAAAGCAACTGAGGCCAATAGGAAAAGGGGACCAGAAACTAGAGAAAAGGTTAGATCAAAAAGAATTAACCTAGAAGGTAACACCCACACACAGGAAATCAATGTGAGTCAATGCCCTGTATAGCTATCCTTATCTCAACCAGCAAAACCCCTTGTTCCTTCCTATTATTGCTTATACTCTCTCTACAACAAAATTAGAGATAAGGGCAAAATAGTTTCTGCTGGGTATTGAGGGGGGGAGCGGGAGGGGGTGGAGTGGGTGGTAAGGGAGGGGGTGGGGGCAGGGGGGAGAAATGAACCAATCCTTGTATGCACATATGAATAATAAAAGAAAAATGAAAAAAAAAAAAAAAAGAATTTTGGCTTCTGAGAATGTAAATAAAGACTCTTGAAGATCTTATCTGCTATTTTTTAACTTGAATTATACAATCTTCTTAAATGATGCTTGTCCCTCCTCCTGTCTGTAACATATCCAGTGAAATAACTCACCAGAACTTTGTATCTGCTCTTTCTATGGTTCTCCCTTCCCTGGGTCACATATTTAGGACTCCCAATAGTCTCAGAGTAGCCAACAGCAGTATTCCTGTACCTGTGACACTCTCTATGTCCTGTCAATAGCAAGATTTTCCATATATTTGTAAGAAAGAAATAGCCTCCTGATTCTTGTTGAACTATAACTTGGAGCTAGCACCATCTCCTTTGATGATCACATATGTAAAGCAGTGGCTTTGGGGGGCTTTTTGGTTAGTGTCTTTTTTAACTAAACTTTAACCCAATAAGCACTCAGCTGGGGCCAGGGTCACAGCTCAAAGAGACAGAGATTTCATCTTCCATACTTGGAGATTTGCTCAGGTTAACCACTGCCATTCATGAGCAGTCCTCTCATGTTCACTGGAGATTTTTATTTCACCTACCATACCCCTTTCATTTTCAAAACTGAGGGATGCAGCTGTTCCTCAAAATCCTCAAAGGGAAACATCCCCACTGGCTCCAACTCATGACAAATTTAAGACTGGGCCAGTCTAACTTCTCACCAGTCCTCATATTTGGCAGGCGTTAGAGTCTGGGCTCAAAACAGGTTATTAGGCATTTCCTTAGTCTCCCCAGGCTGCATCTGTGTTGGGTTTTTATTTTGTTTTGTGTTGTTTGGAGGGGTTGGCTCATTATGTTCCTTAAATGCAGCTAACAAACTCAGATCAAATTGTTCTTATGAAGATTAGTCTTAGAGTCCTGAATAGGACATGGCTCACTCCAGACATGTCTTCCAGTGTCTGGAATGAGAATTTGGAGATGACTGTGTGATGTTACAAACACCCCTTTGAGCATAAGCCTGGATCAGAGGAGATAGCTTCTAATCAAGGTTGCGGTAGGAGAAGCTACCTAGTAAGAAATAGCAGATGAGGAAATAGGTATGCCCTATTCTTAAGAGATCAGAATAGATACGAGTATGTATTTGATGTATGCACTCAGAAAGGCTCAAGAAAGTATGCCTTAGGATCCGATTATTGTTTATCAGATGCCTTCAGAACTAAGCCTCAGATCTGAGACAAGATGATTTAGAGGTTATTGCTTTCTCTCCTGACAATAACCTACCTAGATGAATGGAAACAAACAATTATTTCACCCAGATATTTTAAATTAATGTTTATTTGACAGGTAAGAAGTCAGTCAACAAGAATCAGTGATAATTATCCTCTTTCCCCAACTCTTGATCCCAGGGTGGGTTATAATCATGTCAGTCTTTCTTCTCCGAGAGGCATGGGCCTGCCAACACAAGTGTTGCTAGTGGCTCTTCTTACATGTGGCATGGCTGCTGGTGAGCCCCCCAGAAAGGCCTCGTTATCAGGACAATGGGGATGCAGGGCTTCATATAGCTGGCCCTTTAAATATGCACAGTCCATCAATTACAATAACCCTAGCCTATTATCTGAGCCTCTTTTACTAGTCCTTTTCTGTTCTTCTGTTGCAAAGACTAGATCCCTATTCCTTATAGCTCCTCTTCATATGTTTGCCAAGTTTGTCAAAGGCAAGATAATTACAATTATAATCTGTCATAAAATCCTTAGTGCCCAAAATAACATAGATAACACTTTATTTTGTAAAACACAAATTACTAAGTAAAACAGATGTTGTATTAGCAGTAAAACCATTTTTAACCTCATTCTTCTTATTGATATATGAAAGAACCACATAGCTCAGATGTACTTACAGTTCAGGTTTATATATATGGGTGAGAAAATGTTAATTCTAACATCATTCCCAGACCCAAGACACAGCCATAGAGCGGTGCCTTAATTTATAACACCATCAGATTTAACCTTTATGCACATACCAGCATTTAATTGCAACTTTTTGTTTCTTTAACACAATATCAACAGTAAAGTCCATAGCTAAAGAATTCCATTATATATGCATGTATAGCGTCCATATAATGTTATAATTCCTGCTATCATATTGAAATTTTCATAGTAAATTTCTCCATCCTAGCCTTACACATAATTTATAGTCACTGTGTAGAAACTTAGATTATGGCAGTCAGCTCTATGTACACACATGCACATCCTGAATTTACAGCAAACTTGGTGTTCTACCATAATCTTTGCTTTCTGTGCCTTCCCTCTTGACCTTGTGTCTATTTGTTTTTCTAAGAGGTTTAGTGATCAGAATGCATGCACAAACATAAACATGATCATTCTCAAAATGTCAACATCATCTTTTAAAATGTAATAGCAAACGGAACATGATTCTGAGTTAAGGAACAATTCTGTTTATTTTTAGTTCTGCCATATAACATGGTAGAATCGTTGATTTCTGTCACTGTGAAAATACATCTTGCAGGTACTAGAATTTAGCGAACTTAGGAAGTGCCTGGGAACTTCAAAACTGATTATGATTTGGAGGTTCAAATTAAGGTGGCCCAAACATGCATACATGTGTGAGTAAATGAAAAATGATAAAATGAAAGAAAAAATAAACTTCAGAAAAAAATTGTTTTAATTTTGCGCTTTATTATCAACAAGACCTCAAATAATAAAGATATACTGCCTTTTTTTTCCTTTTAAAAGATTAGAAATTTAAGCTATGGAGTTTTGTTTTACCCACTATCACATTCGTTTTTCAACTAAATTTTCTATCACTATTTTATCCATCTTTTTCCTATTTCATTTTATAATTCATTTTGGTATCTAAAGAATTACAATTATATCTGTTTTGCCCACAAAATTAAATAATTTATATTCTCTTTGAAATAATATTTGAGACTTTAAACTATTGGTTGTCAATGCTCTAAATAGAAAATTATATGCCCTATTTGCTAATTATTATCAAAATCAGCCTAGACAGAGAAAAGTTCAACAATACTTAAAGGAACCCATAAAAGAAAAAGCAGCAGCAGTGACCCTCAAACGCTCCTCATGTGTTCTCTTAGAAAAGATTCTGCAAAGTCTTACCTGACAAGATTTGTTCTTTTCAGGTAGCTTTTAAGATGCCATAGTATGCCAGGTGGTAATCCTAACCACTTCAGAGGCTAAAGTCTTAGAAGCTAGCTAGTTGTCAAGACCCCATCTCCAAAACAGACTGAACATATGGCTCAAGCTGTAGATCATCTGCTTTTCAAACACAAAGCCCTGAGTTTAAACCTTAGTCTCGCCAAAATAATAATAATAATAAATTTTTTAAAAGAAACAATACCCTCAAGGCTGTCTGTCACAACTTGCTGTTTCCCAGAATAAGAATAGATGAATGACCTGAGGGGAAGATATTTAATACTAACATAACAAACTTAATGAACTTGTTCTTCTGAAGCATAAAATCATCCAGTGTGCCATTTGGATGAAAAAATAGTGAATTATGAAGAGAAGTAAGAAAGACAACTTCATTAAGGAGCTTGGGTCCCCAGAGTCTGGGGAGCTGAGTTCCCGATTGCCGGTATGTCTCACCAAGGACAGAAATAAAAAAAAACAATGAGGCCAGTGACAGAACAAAGTGGATCAAATCGGTCAAGCTAAAAAGAGTTAGGCTTTTAGCATCAAGAGTTTACTTTCATCAGAATATTAAGTCAGATTGCTTTGATCTATCACAGATATTCAACTAGCTATTAGCCAATGTTTCTAGCAGTAAGAAAATCAAAAGTCAGTGGGAACAAAGAAATAGTAAGAAGTACGAGAAACATTCTATCCTCTCTCCACTTCAGTCAGAGGAAAAGGAAACAGAAGTGGGCTATCTGGAGGAAGTAGAAAATGCTGAGACAAGTGACAAGCCAGGTCACAGTAATCAGTCACTCACCAAAGTCCATCACTAGATTTTATTGTTTACAAGTGTCATAGAAATATGGAGACAGTTTCTGCTACACTTGAATCAACCAATACCACCAACAGACATCTGATTCTAGAGGCAGCCAAGCAGGTGAGGATGAAGTCACCTAAGGAGATCTTTGGAGTTTTGATCAATTCAGAACAATTTTTCAGTTCAAAGAACACATTCTTCAGCATTCCGATTATGAATTCTGCTATTTCTAGTATCAGATACATTTTATTCAATCCAAGAACAATTCCATAGAGGAAAAAATTCAGAATTTATGGCCCAAACAATGTATGCACATATGAATAAATGAGAAAAAAGAAAAAAAAACTTTGTCTTATTGATCAACTCACAACCAAACATTTGCATTTATTTCTGATACTTATCTTTATTGCTTTTTTTTTTTGTAGTTTCAGTCTCAATCAGAGCCTCCTCCTGTTGAACATAGTCTCATATGTTTAAGGAAATCCTTTTCTTTGTTTTTACTGTAATCCCAATCTTAATCCAGAAAGATCAGCTAAGGAATCCAGTCTCACATACCTTCATGCGAACATTCCTATTTCTTTTAGAGAACTACTAAATTCTAACCAAACAGTTCTGTGTCCATTTACCACTGACATTTTCAATGGTAAACTTGAGAACAATAACTTTGGCCAGATTTATGTCTAGAGATGGAGAGAAATTCACGACTATGAAAAGCATATAAGAGGAAGAAGAATCAATATGCTTAATGGCAGATTTGGGGGCAAGGAAAAGGAAAACATGTCGACAATGACATTGCTTCTCCTTTTGTACCTAGACTGATAGCATTCTTCCCAGTGAGGGAAGCACCAGACACAGCAGGTTTAAAGGCCAAAGGGTAGAAAAAAGGAAAAATATTAGATGACAGGCTCTGTTTTGAACATTTTGGAGTGTCTATAATTCATCCAAGTGGAAAGTTGTGGGAGACACTTAGGTATTTGTGACCCTTTTGCTCAGAAAAAGAATTTGGACAACAAGCAGAATTTGGGACTCATCAGCACATACTTGATTCCATTAAGGATGGAACCAAGGACCCTGGGGAACATCAAGAAGCAATCAGGTGGAAGAGGGACACCAAGAAAGTAGGGTTTCAAGGCAACCAAGCTCAAGAAATGAAGGAATGTAAAGGAAAACAATCAATACTTCATGACATCAGGGGACGGTCACTGACAAACCCAACTGCAGACTAAGAGGTCCTTACTTAATTTAGCAATTGAACTGAATACAAGGCAGACTACCACAGATTAAAGAGTTAGTGATATCTCAATAATGAAGCATTAGAAAGCCAGTTAATGTAATCCAACAGATTAATGGAAAGTCAGGTGCTTAGTGGCTTACATCTGTAATCCTAGCTTACTTGGGAGACTGAGATCTGGAAGATCAAGATTCCAGGCCAGCCCAGGCAAGAGTTTGTGAGATTCCATCTCAATGTGAAAAGCTGGTGGCATGCACTTGTCATCTTAGCTAGGCAGGAAGCCTAAAATAGGGGGATCATGGTCCAGGATGGCATGGACAAAAAGCAAGACCATATCTTCAAAATAACCAGAGCAAAAAAGGACGATGGATATGCGTCAAGTGGTAGAGTGCCTGCAAGGATCATTACCATATTATTAGGACATGTTCATTTTATCAAGTTTTCTCAGTATAAACCAATCTGGTGCACCCACTTGATTTTTTTTCCTTTTGTCCATAGCTACAGGCTCTAGTTTTCCAGGTGAGGTGATGATGACAGGACACTGTTCTTTGCTAAGATGCAAATACACATCACTCTTTTGCATATTCTTTGCCTAAAAAAAATTTTGTCTCTATCTTTAGCTATGAAAGATCTAGGGAAAAAAATTTATAAATTATAAATTTTAAAAGTCAACTTAAATTCTTCTTCATCCCAGTAGGTGAGAAAAACTAATAGTCAAAACAGGACCTAATCAGTCCTAACGTCCTGAGTCCCAACCTTTCACTCCTGGTGAGATGTGAGGTGTCCTTGCCAGTGGAGCTGTGACTTGCAGTCACTCTGGGTGCCGTGTGAAGGACACAGGACACCAGAAGATGGTCATGCACCTCCATTAGCCCCTTCAACATACCTGAGAATGCATATTCTTGTCCCTTGCCTTATCTTAGGGAGAAAATGCCCAGTATTTATATCATGAAAGAAGTATCTTCCAACATGGGTTGTAGCTTTGCAACCCTCACCCAGGACTTCCAGAACAGAAAACCATCTCAGAACAGAGCAGCTTTAAAAAATATTAAAACAAAGCTGAACATGACAAGAATGAATATGTCTGGCTCCTTTATGAGAGAAATAGCTTGGAAATTATTCCAGATGGGATGCCCCTGTGTTGTCCCCACTGTCCTTTTACCTTGGATTGACATGATCCTCCTGCCTCAGGCCCCAAATCGGTGGTGATACTGGCATTGAAAACCACACCCAACTCAAATACGAATTGAAAATCCTTCTGCATGACATTCAGGAATATTAAACAGTAAACAGGGCCATAATCAATGATTGGTCTTAAATCTAGACCTTACATCCAAAATCATGGTTGCATATCACATTCTTGAAAAAACTCAGTCACCATGACTGTTTCTATTTCTTTGTAAGGAATCATTACAGTTACACAGGACTTTATATATTGCTCCTCCGTGTTTTTTGTCCACACCTATGCAGTTCCTGAACAATGTTAAGATGTATGAAAAGAGGGCAGGCACAATGGTGACTAAGTAACATCCACCAGAGATACTGCCCCATAGACACAACAATTGAAGGCTTTTCTCATAGTCATACTGCCAAAAGCATTTAGTCAAGACTAAGGGCACGGAGGATTTGTTCACACCCCCATGGCCATGAACACATCAGCAGGCTCTGTTGGGTGGTATAGGAGCTGGTAGTGAGTCCAGGCCTGAAGGCAGTGCTCGAGGAGCAGCATGGTGAGACAGTGTGGTATTCAGGCCCTGAGCTAGACTGGGTAGCTGTGCCACATGGACCTAACAAAGCACTTCTGGGAGGGTCTGAGATGTGTTGAAGCAACACTAGTGAGTCAAAATAGAGAGCCCTGATGCCCATGCAGCTCTGCCCCTAGGTCCAGGTGGGTCTTAGTAATCTTTATGGAAACATGGGGTATGGTTGTGGGGAGGGTCAGAAAACCCACAATCCTATACTGCTTCACTGAGGTGGGAACCTTCCAGGTGGACAGAAGAAGCTGTGGGTTTTCTGGGAGCCAGTGACCACTCTCTACTGAGCTAAATGTCCAAACCAGACAACCTCTCCTGTTTTCAACAGTTTACACTTCAAAAAACAGAACAAAACCCTCCAAAACTGCTCTAGGAAGGAGTAGATTACACTCGCCACCACAACAATAAGAAAATACTGACTTTGTTTTCTGTTTTTCTGCATAGATTTTTTTTCAGTATTTTCCCTCCTTCCCTTCTTTCTTCCCTTCCTTTATCTTTTCTTTAATTTGCAGTCATTATAAATGATGTAAAACACTCACTTTTTAATACTTAATTCTTAACTATCTTTTTCTCCTCCCTCTACAATTGCCCTCCCCCACTTTCTATTTTGTTTGCATCTGCAATTAGATCATTCTGTCTCTATTTTTCTTCTCTATTTCCCCTAACACAATCCTTTAATATCATCATATTGGTAGGTTGTGAGATTGACAGACTGGTTTTTTTCCTCAATTATCCTTCCTTTCTCACTACCCCTTTAGTTTTATCTTATATATTTCCTTGTTCCTTCATATTGTCCCCTTGTATTTACTTTATCCACCTCCCCTTCCATCCTTATTTCACCATGCATCTTGTTCTGATCACCAGTGTTATCGTCCCATCTTCTTTCCATTGCTACCCTTGTTAGGTAGTGCTTTCCTAATTCATGAAGCATTATCTTTTCTCCTTTATTCCTCTAAGGAACACTGGAGGTGTAGTGATAATTTTTCTTAATTAATGATTACTATATGTTCGTCATGGGTTTATGTGTCACTTGGGATTTCTTCTGCAGCTACTCTTTTCCCTGAGGTTGATTATCACTCTATTGTGTCCATGTACCACAGTTTCTGTATCCATTCATTAGCTGATGGACACCTAGTCTGATTCCATAGATTGGCCCATGGGAATAGTGGTGTTATAAACATGGGTGTGAAGGATCCATTTAGTTTGTTGACTTGCATTCATAGGATCATATAGCAGTTGTATTTCTAGTGTTTAGAGGAGCCTCCATTCTGATTTCTCTAGTGGCTCCACTAATTTGCTTACCCCTTTCCTCCTGCCCTCTCACCAGCCTTTGTTGTTTGTTTTCTTCATGATTGCCATTCCTAGTGGGGTGAGGTGGAATATCAGTGTCCTTTTGATTTTCATTTTGTTTTATGTAAGGATGTTGAACATTTCTTCATGTATTTACTCTCCATTTGACCTTTTGAGAACTGTCTGTTGAATTTTTTCCCATTTATTAACTGGAGTTTACTTTTTAGAGCCCTTTACATATTGTGGACATTAATTCTTTCTCCAAAAAATAGCTGGCAAAGATATTATCCCATTCTGGAGATTGTTTCCTTTGCCGTGCAGAAGACATTTAATTTGATACAATTGCTTTTGTCAGTTCTTATTTCCTAAGCAATTGGAGTCCTATTCAGAAAGGCATTACCTATGCCTCTATGCCCCATACTAGAAATTCTAAATATATAAAGAAATATCAACAGATAGCAAGGGAGAAGTACACAGCAGCACAGTAACAACAGGCAACTTTAATGCCATAGTTTCAATCATGGTCAGATGGTGTACATGGATGATAAGGAAATAGTAGGCTGATCTTATTTATGCTAAATGGGCCTAACAGACATATATACAACCTTCCATTGAACAGTAGGAGGATACATTTTCCTCTGAAGCTCATATGGACCATTCTCCATAATAGATCACTTATTATAGCAAAAAACAAAACAAACAAAAAAAAAGACTAGTCATAACAAGTTTGAGAAGATTAAAATCATCTTGAGTCTGATTTATCTCTAGTATGCAAGGATGGTTTGACACGGAACTAATAAACATTGTACCAGAATAACAGGAATAAGTCATGTGATCATCTCTGTACATGGGGGAAAAGCATTTAAGAGAAATCAACATACTTCTGATAGCAACTCTTAACAACTTAGGTGTGGAAGGAATGTGCCTTAAGACAATAAAGGGGAGGAAGGTGATAAACAAGTCTTGATCAAGG